CAGATGTCATAGATGGCCTCATTGTCTACCATGAAGGCACAATCAGAGTGCTCCAGGGTGGTGTGGGTGGTGAGGATGGAGTTGTAGGGCTCAACCACAGCTGTGGAAACCTGGGGGGCTGGGTAGATGGAGAACTCCAGCTTGGACTTCTTGCCATAATCCAGAGAGACGTTCCATCAGCAGGGAGGTGAACCCCGACCCAGTTCCCCCACCGAAGCTGTGGAAAACCAAGAAGCCCTGAAGACCTGTGCACTGGTCAGCCTGTTAGAAAAAGAGAGGAACAGCGTTGTGATCTCAGTGATGAGAGACATGTGGTAAAAGCTGCAACAGATTTCTGTGAATCCATGGTTACACTCAATCGAGAACAATATTTGAACAATATTCTGAATTCTGAATATTTGCTAAGAAAGCAGTCATAAGGAGCTTCTAAAGTGCTAAGTGATTCAGAGAACTTTTTACAATCAATTCCTGGGGGAAGCAGGGGAAGTGACAGGGCATCTGCTAAAAAATACTATGTAAAAGTGAACTGTTTTCATTTCCTCGAGCAGAGGAATCACAAGGTCTAGAATGGATAAAGGGCCCATGGTTTGATAACAGCAAAAACAGTCTCTGATGCCCTTGTTGCAGAAGAGGGCAACTTCTTATCAGTTGGAGAGCTACCAAAGAACAGGCCTGGGACCACCAGCCCAGCATAATGGATGTCTTACAAAGATCTGGCAGCTGCTTTCTGAGTTGGAGCACAACAGAACAGCCAAGTTCCAGTGCCCTGGTACTAGGGTTAGGCAGGGTCTGGATCTGGCTCTACCAGTTCCTAACGGTGTGACTGTGACCAAATGCATTTCTCTATCTTGGTTCTCATCTATTAAATAAGGGAGAACAATAATCAACCTCAGGTTGAGAATTAAATGAATGTGCTTAAAATAGCACTTGGCATAGCAAGTACTCAGGACATGACAGAGGTGCTGAGAAGCCTATTCATTCCAGGGAAGGTGACTTGGTAACTTACTATCATAGTTCCCTGAGACCTGAGACCTAAAATTGTCAGGGCTTTTCACTACTAACTGGGCTATTCTGTCTAATAAACTGCTACTCCTTGTTTTTTTCAGTCGGGGTCTCACTCTGTTGCCCAGGCTGGAACGGGGTAGCATGTTCACGGCCACCACAGCCTCGATCTGCTAGACTCAGGTGCTTCTTCTGCCTCAACTACAGGTGCATGCTACCATGCCTGACTTACTTTTTGATTTATTATAGAGACAAGGTTTCAAGTTGCCCAGGCTGGTCTCGAACCCAACCTCAGGCAATCCTCTCACCTCAGCCTCCCAACGTGCTGCGATTACAGGCCTGAGTCATCATGCCCAGTCAACTTTGTTTTTCTTTTGAGTCAGAGTCTTGCTCTGTCACCCAGGCTGGTGTGCAGTGGCATGCTCATGACTACTGCAGCCTTGACCTGCTGGGCTCTGGTGGTCCTTCCACCTCAGCCTTTCAAGTAGCTGGAACTACATGTGTGTGCTACTATACCAAGTTTTTTTTTTTTTCTGGTTTATTGTAAAAATGAGGTCTCACCAAGTAACCCAGGCTGGTCTTGAACCCCAGGGCTCAGGCAATCCTCTCACTTCCGCATCCCAAAGTGCTAGGATTACAGGCATGAGCCACCATGCCTGGCTCTCCTCGACTTTTTAAGCAAAGTATTCTATTGACAAGTCTTAGATGCGCAGAGGTACTGAGGATTGTGGACATTCTCTATGGGCTCCTCCACTCATTATTCTGTGGGTCTATATTCTGAATAACTACATGAGAAAAATGTACCAGGCAGACGCTAATCTATTAATCACACCCATGAAAACTCCTGTGGACACAGTCACAGCACCAAGGATGGATGCAATTGTTTTGGCAGTCAGTGAACTTCCCTCCAGAACCCTAAATGGCTACTTTTAGGTTTATTTGTCCTAAAGGCAGACCTTGGTTTCCAAGCATAGGAACCATTAATCCAATTTTGCTGGGAAGACTGAGATAAACATCTGAGAAAAGTACAAAGCCATGAATGGCCATTCTTTTAGAATAGACCAGACCAGTTGTGGCTGGGCTTAGTATAATGTGATTTTCCTGACAAGTTACTCTGCCCAGGCTCTCAATGCTTGATCTTTGGTTAATTACTTACAAGCTGCCCACATGCCTAAGGAGTAAAGAGTCACCCGATTGCCAGGCACTTAATTAAAATGATCCAAACAACACACTTCATAAGGAAGCTCCCTGATTCTGCTTTCAGCTTTGTTGGAAGTTTCTAGTGTTGGCTGTTTTCTAGTCAGTGTTACACTGGCTCTTGTGCTCTGAACTTTGTTTAGCATAAGGCACTGGCAGATTTTTTAAAAAATAAGTTTGGAGCTGGGCTTGGTGGCTCAGCCTGTAATCCCACGCCTTTGGGAGGCTAAGGTGAGCGGATTGCTTGAGCCCGCGGGTTCAAGACCCGCCTGGGCAGCAAGACCTCATCTCTACAATAAATCAAAAAATCAGCCGGGCGTGGTAGCGCATGCCTGTAATTCCGGCTACTGGGAAGGCTGAGGCGGAAGGATCGCTGGAGCCCAGCAGGTCGAGGCTGCGGTGGCCGGGAGCGGCCACTGCACTCCAGTCTGGGCGACAGAGTGAGACTCCAACTCAAAAAAAAAAAATAATAAGTTTGGTTTGGCCCGGTGGCTCACACCTATAATCCCAACACTTTAGGAGGTGGAGGCAAGAGGATTGCCCAAACCCACAGGTTCAAGACCAGCCTGGGCAACATGACAAGACCATCTCTGCAATAGATCAAAAAATTAGCCAGGCACGGGTGGTGCACACCTATAGTTCCAGTTACTTGGAAGGCTAAAGCAGAAGGATCACCTGAGCCCAGCAGATAGAGGCTGCAGTGGCTGTGAGCATGCCACTGCACTCCAGCCTAGGTAACCAAGACTCCAACTCAAAAAAAGGAGTTTGACCAATTAGTTACATGCAGGTGTCAGCCACCTACTCAGTGTGACTAAGATGATATAAAAATGAATGTCTCAGCTCAAGGTAAAACAGGCAAAAGGGCACTTACTCCTGCCGGATAGTTGTTCCCTAACCAGGACCATGCTGTTTAGAAGTTCGGTTTGTTTAGTAAGCAGCCTAAGTCTCATTTTATTTTATTTTATTTTTTTTGAGTTGGAGTCTCACTCTGTCGCCCAGACTGGAGTGCAGTGGCCGCTCCCGGCCACCGCAGCCTCGACCTGCTGGGATCCGGCGATCCTTCCTCCTCAGCCTTCCAAGTAGCCGGAATTACAGGCAAGCGCTACCACGCCCGGCTGATTTTTTGATATATTGTAGAGATGAAGTCTCGCTGCCCAGGCGGGTCTCGAATCCGCGGGCTCAGGCAATCCACTCTCCTCAGCCTCCCAAAGGCGCAGGATTACAGGCTGAGCCACCGAGCCCGGCTCCTAAGTCTCATTTTAGTTGCTAAGAATGATTTACAGTTTGGTCTCTCTAAAAACTGCAAGAGAAAACCCTTCCCTGCCCCCCCTTTAATAAAGTACTGTGCTTACCAGCTTGCGAATTCGGTCCAAGACAAGGTCAATGATCTCCTTGCCAATGGTGTAGTGCCCTCGGGCGTAGTTGTTGGCAGCATCTTCCTTGCCTGTGATGAGCTGCTCAGGGTGGAAGAGCTGGCGGTAGGTGCCAGTGCGAACTTCATCTGGAAGAGGAAAACAAACCAGCCACCCATCACTAACTACCTGCACAAGCCTCTCAACCCAGGTGGGGATTGGAGGGAGCGTGTGGGAATGTGTGTGTGTGTGTGTGTGTGTGTGTGTGTGTGTGTGTGTGTGTGTGTGTGTGTGTGAAAATCAATGGAGCTGCCCGGACAGATCTCCTGTTCCTGGGACCCTGGGATCTCACTTGGGTTCCTGAGGTCAACTCACCAATGACCGTGGGTTCCAGGTCTACAAACACTGCCCTGGGCACATGCTTGCCAGCCCCCGTCTCGCTGAAGAAGGTGTTGAAGGAGTCATCTCCTCCCCCAATGGTCTTGTCACTTGGCATCTGGCCATTGGGCTGGATGCCGTGTTCCAGGCAATAGAGCTCCCAGCAGGCATTGCCGATCTGGACACCAGCCTGGCCAACGTGGATGGAGATGCACTCACGCTATGGGAAGAAGAAAGGAAAATGTCAGAATATGACAAATCAGATGGGACACTTAGGGATGATTCATAGCTAAATGACTCACACCTAACTTTCAAGATATATAACCACCTTTCTGCAGGTCACTTCTGCCCAGGGACTATTTCACAAGCAAAAATCTCTGTTAAAGATTTAATTCAAGCAGGGCTCGGTGACTCAGCCTGTAATTCCATGCCTTTGGGAGGCTGAGGTGAGTGTGGATTGCCTGAGCCCACAGGTTTGAGACCTGCCTGGGCAACTTGGCGAGACCTCATCTCTACAATAAAATCAAAATGAGCCGGACGTGGTAGCGCGTGCCTGTAGTTCCAGCTACTTGGAAGGCTGAGGCGGAAGGATCACCGCAGCCCAGCAGGTCGAGGCTGCGGTGGCCTGGAGTGGCCACTGCACTCCAGTCTGGACGACAGAGTGAGACTCCAACTTTAAAAAAAAAAAAAAAGAGACTTAATTCAAGCCAGGCTCGGTGGCTCAGCCTGTAATACCGTGCCTTGGGAGGCTGAGGTGAGTGAATTGCCTGAGCCCGCGGGTTCGAGACCCGCCTGGGCAACTTGGTGAGACCTTATCTCTACAATAAATCAAAAAAAAAAAAATTAGCCGGGCGTGGTAGCGCGTGCCTGTAGTTCCAGCTACTTGGAAGGCTGAGGCAGAAGGATTGCCAGAGCCCAGCAGGTCGAGGGTGCGGTGGCCGGGAGTAGCCACTGCACTCCAGTCTGGGCGACAGAGTGAGATTCCAACTCAAAAAAACCAAAAAAAAGACAATTAAATGCCAGGTGTGGTGGCTCACGCCTGCAATCCCAGCACTTTGGGAGGTAGAGGTGAGAGGATTGCCTGAGTCCACCAGCCTGGGCAACTTGGTGAGACCTTGTCTCTAAAATAAATCACACATACTCAAAAACTAGCCAGGCGTGATGGTGTGCATCTGTAGTTCCAACTACTTGGAAGGCTGAGGCAGAAAGATTGCCTGAGCCCAGCAGGTCAAGGCTGCAGTGGTCATGAGCATGACACTGCACTCCAGCCTGGGTGGCAGAATGAGACTGACTCCAAAAAGAAAAGAAAAAAAAAAAAGCTTAATTCAGGGAAAATGCTTTGGAAAACCCAAGGTATGCTAATGAGCTACTAGGGAAGACCAGACCCTCTCTTTGTAGCCAAAGTAGATATTCAAGGCCGCTTTCTACCACTTTTGAATGACATAAGCTGCTCTATAGCAATTCATTTCTCCCAGCTCCTGGGAAATATGCCTGCTGATTTCTTAACTAAAGCAAAATTCCCCCTTCCAGCTCTGATTCATTCTCAGTGTGATTGTGTAACCACTGAGCTCATTTTGGTCCCTCGTTAATCCTATTCTTTACAAGACAAAAGCTTCTCTCCCTCTCCCCTCTAAAACCAGCTTAAACCAGCAAACTACAGCCATATGACTCATGGAGAAAATGCTAGATATGCAGCAGTTAGCTGTATTTTAAAAGCTGTGGTCAGAGGCCACTTTTCAACCCCGTGGAAGAATGTAATCTCTAGGAAGAACACTTTCCTTAACCATCCATACATCTCAGGGAGGGGGGGGACATGCTAAAAGGCTAGAAGTGTCACCAAGACTTTACTGATAGATTAAGAAACTAGCTATTTCCTAATAAAACATACAGATCTCTCTGGCACTGTGGAAAAGTCTGTGGTTCCAAGAATGTAACAACAGTGAGGAAATACTTGTTTCCTTTACTTGCAGAACAAGGTCACTTAGAAACTACCAAACCCACTTGTGCTTAATAAAATAAGGTAATGAATAAAGAATCTGTATGCACAGACTTAAGAGGGAAACAAAATGGTACTCAAGGTATTTCACCATAGGTCAGACTAGCTACTTTGGAGACTGGCAGAGGACTTTCAAAGTATCAGTACCAAAATCCCCCTTTACATTTGCCGTAATAGTAGGGTTTCAAGGTTTTTTAATTTTTATTTTTAGAGACAGGGTCTCGCTCTGTTGCCCAGGCTGAGTGCAGGGGGTCGAGCATAGCTCACTGCATCCTCAGTCTCCTGGGCTCAAGCAATCCTCTCACTTCAGCCTCCCAAATGGCTGGGACAACAGGCACATCACCACATCCAGCTAACTTTTTATTTTTTTTGTAGAGATAGGATCTCATTATGTTGTCCAGGCTGGGTTTCAAGTTTTTAAAAGCTGCTAATAGGAAACTAGTTAAAGAATATTCAACACCAGGTAAATTCTCAAAGAGCCGAGTCTCATAATCCAACCAAGACAATAAAAACCCCAATTACTCACAACCTTTGATTTATGATCACCTCCTTCCCACCTACGCACCTCATAAAACAATCAAGGCCTCCCGACTATATCAGCAAGCTCATTACTACCTGGGTCTACTGGCCCAGCAATAAGGCTGTGGGAGAAAGGGAGTCGTTTGTTCCAATGAGCCCATGACTATTTACCATTGCATCGTGTTTATCTTTAACTGGACTTTGGAAATTCCATGGCCCCAAAAAGTTGAAGAGAACCAGCTATCTGACCATGACTGTCCCCAGGCTCCCAGGCCCAAGGAGATCAAGTATCTGAAAAGATTCACACAATCTAACAAAATACATCTACTGACTCCTATGAGCCCCCAATTTTTGTTCCATTGCTCACTAGTCTAATCTGCTCTCTTGAAGTTTAGCAGGGAAAAACCAGGGGAGTCCTCGGCCTCTACCTGGCCCTGGCAGTAGGAGATGAAGGAGATGACACAGGTGGAGTCACTTAGTCTAGTGTTAACTGGAGAAGGAGCACTGTCTCATTAAAAAAAAAAAAAAAAAAAAAAAAAAAGCATATATATGTATCTGGGCATGGTGGTTCATGTCTATGATCCCAGCACTTTGGGAGTCAGAGGTGAGAGGACTGCCTGAGCCCAGCCTGGGCAACTTGGTGAGACTTCATATCTACAATAAACCAAAAAGTTAGCAGGGCGTGGTGGTACATGACTGTAATTCCAGTGGAAAGGATCACAAGAGTCCAGCAGGTCAAGACTGCAGTGGCCGTGAGCATACCACTGCACTCTAGCCTGGGCAACAGAGTGAGACTTCAACTCAAAAAAAAAAAAAAATTAGCCAGGCGTGGTGGTGCGTGCCTATGGTTTCAGCTACTTGGGAGGCTGAGGTGGAAGGATCGCCTAAGCCCAGCAGGTCAAGGCTGCAATGGTCATGAGCTTGCTACTACACTCCAGCCCGGGGACAGAGACTCCAACTCAAACCCCTGCAACAACAACAAAAATGAATGTAACCAGTGTTTGCCTAAACCCGTCTGTTACTGCTCTCCTGACTTTATATAACAGTCCGCTACTTTCTGAAACATCCTTTTATCTTTTCCGGCTTACTTGGTGAAAAGCACTCAAGGAAGTTGTTACAGTTGATAAATGTAGTAGTCTCTGAGTCTCTGCTCAACTATTCAGTGTATTCCTTTTTTGAAAAAGATATTTTGAAACGTTGGAAACGTGAATATTTGTTTAAAACATGGCTTCTTTTAGGTAAACATTCTCTTAGTTGTTTTCTTTCTTAAGACAAGGGTCTCACTATGTCGCCCAGACTGGTGACCTCAAGAGATCCTCCTACATCAGCAGCCTCCTGAATAGCTGGGACTACAGGCACAAGAACCACGCCCGGTTTAAGATAGCTGTTCTTTTTTGAATTGGAGTCTCACTCTGCTGCCCCAGGATGGAGTGTAGTGGAACGGTCACGGCAACCGCAGCCTCAACCTGCTGGTCTCCGGCGATCCTTCTCTCAGCCTTCCAAAGTAGCTGGAACTATAGGCGCGCTACCACACCCAACAAATTTTTTGAAGTATTGTAGAGATGAGGTCTTGCCAAGTTGCCCAGGCTGGTCTCCAACCCCTGAGCTCAGGCAATCCTCTTGCCTGGGCTTCCCAAAGTTCTGGGATCACAGGCTTGAGCCTGTCGTTTTCAACAACTCCGGAAGCCGTATGGGAAATACTGGAGTTGTAGTTTACTCTGTGGTCTTATAAAAAAACATCCTTTTATGGACTTGTTTTTAAGCCCAGCTTAAGTCGAAAGCTTCTGCTATAAATCTCCCACTAAATTAACACTAGAAATGCAGGATTAGACAACGTGACTTAATTATTCCCTTCAAAGGTGGAACCCGCCTCCATCCTCAGGTGGACTGGTGCAACTGGAAGCTCTCCCCAGAGCCTGGCCACAGGTGACTCAACAGCGAGTCACAGTGCCCTGGAGAGGGGAAGCCCGGAAGTGTCTACACCATCAGTGCGGTAGCGCACGAGGTCCTCCGGGATCCAGTGAGTAGGACAGGGGAAAGGTGAGGTCATTGGGAAAGTGGGGGGAGGGGAGCTTTTCAGTTTCATCAAGTTCTTGGGGTCCAACAGGAAGGCTCCCTGACCTTCCTAGGGCGGTAGGTAGCAGGCGCCGGGCGATGCCGTCTCACTAGGATCCAGAGAGCTTTCCGTTTCCACCCTGGCAGTACCCGAGCGGCGTCCTCGAGCCGGAAGCGGTGTCTGCCCGGCGAACTCGGCTTTCCCACCCCGGCCACCAGAAGCCAGTTTGACCGGAGGCGCGCCCAAGGACCGTCGGGCGCCGTCCCGGGTGCAGCTCCAGGTGTAGCCGGCAGCTCCGCGGGTCCTGCCGCCCCTGTGGACGCGCGCTCTACCCCACCCCACCTCTGGGGGCCCCACTCACCATGACGTGGGCTTGGAAGTCCTGGAAGAGGCGAAGGGACGGCGACAGGGATCTCCCACTGACAGACTACCAAGGAGTCCGGGGGAGAAGCAGTGAGAGGGAGGGCAGGCGGGAGGGGCCTTATATACCCCTG